CCCTTCATGCTTGGGTCATGCTTGAAGGTACATTTGTCCCCTTTTTGACAATCGCCCTTTAGCCAACCATAGCAATGTCGATCCTTCTTCCCACCAGGGGTCTGCGATCTTCTTGGAGTAGCCGATCTGCTGTTCTTGCCTTTGCCGCCTTTGTCCTTCCTCTTGTCCCAATGATATTGGGAGTGACTGTACTGGCACTTGTCACCATGTTTGCAGTTGCCCTTGTTGAAGTGGAAGTGACAAAAGGTCCTCGATGTATCTCGTGTAGAAGGCGATCTTGATCTCTTGCCACCTTTGCCTTTCCCCTTGCCATGGCTCTTGGGATTGCCGGAAGGTAGAACAGGAGCTCCAGGCTTACCTTTGGGTGCTGGTGCGCTCGGCTTTCCGGTCTTACCATCTTTCGGCGTAGGTGTTGGAGCCGTTGGCTTTGGAGCTGGGGTAGGAGGCTTACCAAGATTGGTGTAGTCCGTGGCAAACTTGTCCCTGGCCGCGATGTTGCGATCTTCGCGTGCACGGGCTATGTGTCTCCTCATGATCTCCAAAAGTTCACTGTAGGACTTCTTCTTGTCATCATTGTCCCTACCCTTGAAGATCGTGAGATCGACGTGCAATGCCTGGGAACCATCGATCTTCCTCAGCAGATGGTCACGCAGTGTGTTGTCAGATGGAATGTCCTCGGCTTTCATGTTGGCAATGATCTCAATCCAAGCATGGAGGAACTTGTCCATCTCTTTGTCACCACGATACTGTAACTTGTAGATGTGACTGGCGTTGAACAATACTTCATCTTTCGACGTTGTTCTGAAATGGTCTAGCACCATTGCCAATATCTCTCTGCCCATCAGGAAATTCCCTTCTTTTCCCAGAACTTGACTCCTCTGTCTGATCCGAACCTTGACCTCCGATGCCGTCTCACCAGCGGAGTCTACCATGTTCTGCAAGGCAATGGATAGCTTGGAGTCGATGGACTGGAAACGGAATTCACCTGAGTCAGCGAGTTCAGCATAGTCTGGACTGGGTAGTAGAGCAGGAGATAGCCATCTTCTCCATGCCGCCGTGTCTGGATCACCTGATGCAACACATACGGCTTGCACGACGTTGGAACGCCAAACATCAAGATCTTGGCATTTAGGCCATGGCTTATCTGTAACCTTCTCGTGCTCTTTCCTGGATATCCTAGTTGCCCAATCTTTGCCATCTTGACCAGCATCACTGTTTGCAACACTAGCATTTGTCATCTTTCCGTTCCCAAAGTCCAGGAGGATTACCAGGAACGGGTTCGAATTCGGGGGCTTCGCTGTCTTTCAAAGATTCTTGCCCTTCTTCAGCTTGCTCCAGCCAACTCTGGTATTCTTTCATCTCGTCATAGTTCTGTTGAGCTCGTTCTTCAGACCGACGAAGCTTCTCACGAAGATCATCGATCTCACTGTTGGTCTGGTTGTTGATGGCATTGCTCATGCTAGGTGATGGTGGTGGTGGTAGAGCAGGATCAGGATTCTTCGTTGTAGAGGATGCCTTAGGCGTACCCATAGGCGTTGAAATCGATACTGCAAACGATGGAGTCATGCCAGTGGGTGCAGTTGTTCTCGGAATCAGGCTCGTTGGAGGCATTGCCGATGGTGAAGCTGGTACTGCGGCTCTGGTTGCTACTCTGCTCCATGATGCTGGCATCGAACCCATGGTCCTCTTTGCATCGTGGAGGGATTGCTTCAGTGAATCATTCTTCCTGATCACATGGTCACGCTCAGAACAGGCCGACTGGTAAAGCTTCTTGTACCTATCTGCCTCTGCCTCTTCAGCGTCGATGAGTGCCTCAGTGAGCTTCGGATTGCTTTCAACTGTTTCTTGAAGTCGACTGATCTCCATGTTGGCTTTGCGAAGTTCTTCACGTAGTTCTTCATTCACCTTAGCATTGTCTTCGTCGCTGCCAACATGAAATCGGGATCCAAGAAGTTCAGCAACCCGTGTCCTCAACTGGTTGGTGGATTCAATCAAGGCCATGTTCTCATCCATGAGTTCGTCCTTGACGCGCTCGATGGTGACTTCTCTGTCCTTGAATGCACTTAGCTCATCATGCTTGAACTGGCGAAACTCGTTCTTCTCATCAATGAATCGATTTGTATACCATTCTCTGGTAGCACTCTCATTCTCATTCATTCTCATGAGGCTTCTGATCTCCACCTCGAGCTCGTTGTGCTTCCGGTTATACTCTTCCTCTCTTCTCTGAATCATGTTCTCCATGTCACGAACCTTCACAATGCGATTGCGGCTCGCATCATCCCTGATCGCAATGAGGTTGTCCTTGTGCGACAAACTGGCAGTCAGCTCGTCGATTGTGGATTGCATCTCTACCAGCTGTTCATCACGTACTGCAACAGCTTGTTGGCCATATTCCATGATCATCTCATTGTTGTCAGTCATCATCTGTGATTTCTCTGATAGTCTCAGTTTCAATTGCTCCATTTCTTCCTTGCTCGCATTCTCCCTGTCTTGAACATACTGTGTACATGCTTCACGCAGTTGTAGCCCATCTTGACGAAAATGAACTGTCATAGCTTCAGATGTATCATGTTGTTGACGAATGAGTTGTGATGCGTTCTCTAGTTCGGTGAGTTGACCACGTTTCTCCAGCTCGATGATCCTCATGGTTGAACCTTCGTCCAGGAGATGTGCCTCAGCCAGTGCGATCGTCTGCTCTTCAAGTACATGGTGTGCATCGATGAGGGAAACTCTCATGAATTCCATCTCAGAGTTGACATGTTCCTGATATTCTTCATGGTTTCGATGTGAATAAATCTCCATGTTGTTAATCATCTGATCACGGTGTGCAAGAACATCTTGATATAGTTGTAACCTGTTTTCTAGTTCAGTCCTTGCCCGTTCACTCCTCTCCAGCTTCTCGGTATTGTGTTGTAGTTGACGTCGAAGACGTGCCTCGCTCTCATTCCTCGTAGCGCTGGTCGATGGCTTGCGTTTGGATGAGGTGGTAGCCTTACCTGCCTCATCCTCCCGCGTGGCCGCGCCCGACGGGCTTCGGCCACCGCCGTCTTCTGCAATGCGAGATCTTGCAGCGCGAGGTGATCTTGCCGATGTTGCTCTTCTGGCACTTCCTCCACGAACTACGTCAGCTTGATTGACCACTGTGAAGCTGCTTGTTGATGCTATACTTCCAGCTGCGCGGTAAGACATCGTGCCGCCGGCGCTGCTCTCTTGGGATCCAGGCGTGTCATTGATCGCCTGAGCCGGAGCAGCATTCGCTCCGAAGGAAAAGCTTGTGTCGTTGCTGCTCGATTGATTCTTCTGCGACATCTTCTTGTTGTCAGTCTACCTCCATTTGCTCCAAGATCAATGACTTGTAGTAGGGCAGGAAGACCGGGATGTCGAAGAGGTTGAAGGTTACCGTGGGACCACCGTACGCCCAGTGTTGAGCGTACGGCTGATAACCTGTGAATGGTTTGACGTACCACTCGTCAACTTGTAATAGGGGTCTTCAGTGAATCCAATGAACTCAACCTCCAAGCAACGCAAAGCAACGAGCGAATCTATTTTCCTCTGAGAGACGACGTAGCTTGAGCCGTCCTTGAGCCGTCCAGGCGGCGGTAGCGAAGCTGTAAAAGGAGTGACAACTGCGTCCTACAGGTGTCAGCTGAGTCCTACATCCCAATCACAATATATATATATATATTATATATATATCATATCCGTTTGTTTTTATTGATTTAACTCTATCTCTTACTTACTGTAGGAGAATTTACTCGATAACTAATCGTAGTCAAATGAGTTTAATAAAGGTCTCAGTATATAAACTCTATATTATTCCAATAATTAGAGTTTGAATACGAGATGGCCAGAAAAAACTGATTGATAATTTGAGATAAAGATATTCTTCAAGGCATCCTATCGCTATCGCTCCTCGTGATAAATCAGAATTATAAAGTGAGGTTTGGCTATCGTCTGAATTTTGCCAATAGAATTAAATTCATCATGAATCATAATTCGATAATATGTGCTGAATTATGTTGATAGATTTACAGTAGATATGTTTAGACAGTTGAATAGCTCCGAGAAGACTTGCTTCAAAGAACTACTTATCTTATCTTATTCATTCTTATTCTATCCATTGATCAATTCAATTACTCAATCAGCTATTTTTGTCAGTCAGCAACCTGTCGAATCGAAAGAAAATCATGTGATTTCCGCCCGACTTCTGCAGATGGATATATCTCTTCCTGGGAAAATTGAATTCACTGTCTCCAATTGAGCCAGTTCTTTGCCTTCGGGCACTTACTCCAAATAACTCACAAAATTGACGAGTTGGCCATCCGATTCGGGGCCTTTTCACATGCCATGTTGACCTAGTGCTCAGGCTACTCGGTATCCCCCAATTTTCATGAAGGCGGAAGCAAAATATATGGGTTGAATATGATTTAATCACACAATCCTAAGCTGCTAAGCTGCCTAAGCTCGTAACAAATATTCTTGCTGCCAAAAAGTACTAGCCATACTATCCTTCTGATGGAACACTCATAGAACCAAGGGCCAGGACCACCATTGAAAGCTGCTTTCATGGACGGCGCAGTCACAGAAAGGTCATCGGGGGTGAAAACAACTTTGACCCCACTGGGGTGATGGACCATGCCCCCAGACAATGAAAATTGTTTGGCATGAATCACAACTGTTCATCATTTGGAGCCCTAAAATCTTTGACTGTCCTGAAACAACTGCTTGGGTTCCGCTGGGGGCATGGTTGTGCTCCGAGTGCCGTCACCCTTCGTACTAAACAATCGCTTGAGGGCCAGCATGTTGCATGGTTTCTTTCATTTCGAATCAGTCTTGATCAATTTGGTGCTTATTCATTCCAGTCATCAAACATGGCTTGTTATGGAATTGTCCCATTTCTCATTAGAAACCTCCATTTGGCGCGGGGATTTTCCCAGCTTTCCCACCTGTTGTTCTGCTGTTTGTGGCCTCCGCTCACTTAAATCGGTACCGTAGTACCGTCATCCGCGAGTGTAGCCATGCTCCCTGGCCGTTTCGGTCATGGTTTCAATAAGAAAAATTTGGCCAGATTATATATAGATTATATAGCAACCCTATGCAACCCTCAAAAACTTAGAAAAAATATTTTCATCACATTTTAGCACTATGTTCATGGGAAGTAATGAGATTTTACTCTATCTACTTGGGGGTTACGAAACAGTGGGTCGGGGCCTATGCTCAGCTCAGGGCCCTTACCAAGCCAGTAGCAGCTGGTAGTTATACGTCAATATGAAAATCACCAAATACACCAGTTGAATCCACTGAGAACATACACACTTGCGAATCTGTTCAGCAACATACAATACACTTTTACAAGTGTGTATATATATATATATGTGTGTATATATATATATATGTATATATATATATATGTAGATAATTATATATATATATGTATATAATTATATATATATGTGTAGCGCTAATTACTCAAGTGCCAATCTGATCCTACTGCTATCCCATGATGAGCCAGTCTTTAATACCTAAGCATCACAGCCAAAAATTCAGTTACAATATATGCAGTTCCATAATGTTCTAACCACCTGAATCCACCTGCGCAAAATTCTACACCAAGTAGCACTGGTTGCATCCACGATTTCCTGTCCAATCCACCAACCATTATCTCCACCTAGATCATCCTTTAACATCCCCTGGCTTTGTCCAGTGGGATTTACGGCAAATCAAAACCATTGGATGGAAAACCGGGTTTCAGCATCGGCAATGAGAGCCCAATGCCATGAACGTTCAATGCCAATTGGTTTCGGGATCGTCCAATGGTGAAAAAAACCCTTCCGAACCAATCTCATCTGGGCATCTTGCAAGAGCCAGCATGTTTATCCGGTAAAACCACATTGTTTGCCAATTTTTTGCACATGCCGTAATTTCCATTTGGGGCCATTTTGTCATCCAAAAGCCAGTGGTATCATGTGGTATCCATTGGTATTTTTCCAGCATCATTTCTACAGAAAAACCAGGTGAGCCATTAAAAATGCCCCTATCCCATCTCATGAAATACTGGTTGATAGCTTTCCCATGCATATGGATTAGTTCACAATCCCCAACTACCCAGCTAGTATAAGGCCCTGCAATGTTAGTAAAGAAATAGTAAACCATCCTCAAATTTACCAAAATGGGTGTTATAAACCAACCATCAAAATATGGTTGGTTTGTGACATTGCCTTACTAACATTATATACAGTAATTATCATTAACCATCAATAATCAACTTTAATTATCATTAACCACTATTAATCATTATAAATAATCAATAATCATGATTACTGTAATAATGATTAATCATTATTGATCATGATTAATCATTGTTAACCACTAAAATCCATTAAATCATTCCAAAAAACTTCATACCCAACCGACCAGCCTGGGCAGCGTTTGAAAGGCCGGCGCTTCGTGCAACCCATAGGGCTGCCAGCCGCTGGTGGCGGCCACCGCGTTGGCCGCCATCTGCGCTGCGGGCATCACCTACGCACCGGAGAAGGTGGACAAAAATTCGGAACTCACCAGCAAAATGAAGGTTTAACATGGTTTAACTATCGAAAACGAAGGGTTTTACCATGAAAAATGGAGATTGACCCATCTCAAGTGGGGGCTTAAGTTAGATGCGAACTGAGCTGCGCGAATCAACCAAAGATGCCGGGAGTATCACTGCTGCTCGTAGATACCCTTCAAAAAAAATGATATCATGACGGCAAAAACTTAACTGAGTGACCTACCAAACCAAGGTCTACTGTACCCAGAATTGTTTGTGCCTTTTGGCCTATATACACACTCGGAAGATTATTGACAGCAAGTCACTATGCACAGCATAAACAATTGTAATATCAACAACGAAACGGCGAGGCATAAAATAGAATTCCCAGAAAAAGGTGGGCCGAAACAACAAAATGGTGATGGAATCAACCAAACTGATCAACAAGAGCTTGGCACCAAAACACCACCACAACCGGGTATACAATCAGCAAGAATCGTGATCCGATCAACAAAGAAAGCGATATCGCCTTCAAAACTATGTAGGTCTGTATGTACGTACGTACGTATGTATGTATGTATACAGTATATAAGCTGACAAAGGCGTCCCAAGGAAGGAACTGACAAAATCTTCACATTGAGACCTGATCCATGAAGTGGCTCGCGAAAGCTTGTTTGACCAAAAGAGATGCCCCGGGGATAGCGAATTCTCCCCATATGTATAGGTAAGTTCACCCTTGGAATCTTTTTCTGTTCACAACAAATAGTTGGATTTATGGATGTCCATCCCCCATTCATATGGAGATATAATGATGCAGTAAGTGTGGATCCATCTCAATAGTATAATGATTCATCATTGATTCATCCTCATTAACCCCTTTTGCAATCCCCAATGTTGATAGTTTAAGTTTAAATCCAAATAGTATTGCAAAAAATTAGCCCAGTCACCTTTTTCATTGCCCAAGGTTCACCCAG